AGAAGGTGGACTTGGCAAGTGCCCACCCAAGGCCTGAGCTTGTAGTGGTCTGTTGGCAAACGTGTGCCCTTCCCTGGGCCCAAGGTCACGCCGGCCAGACTCGTAGCTGGGCCTGGGGCTCCTGCTCTACAGCCCGCCCTCGCTGGATCAAACCCTCGCTGCCTGGGGGCCAAACACTGGCTCCCCATCAGGCCAACGGCGTCACCGCCGGCCCAGCCTGGCTTCTCCAGGAAGCACCTCCCAAGGACTCAGTTTCCATGAGGCAGGTGGCGAAGGGGCCCTGGCACTGCCTCCAAAGAAGCTCTGACTCAGGCCCAAGCCACAGAGCGAGGCCTGTCGCCGGAGCAACAAATCCTGGGACACTCTGGGCGCGTCGGTGCTGCTGCTTGTGCACATCCGTCACTGAGCAAGGAAAGCAGAGACCTTCCGAAATGCTGTCACACCGACACTCTTCCACGTGGCCTTCCAAAAAAGGGTGTCTGCTTAAAAGAACATTATTTTTTAAAACTCAACTTGCACGAATTTATCATTTTCTGTATCAGCCCTTGAATTTTATCAATTTATTCACTAAGCATTTACAGCAACAAATAGCAATGAACTAGAATGAATGAACATTTGAAAGCCTACTATATATAATATATATATATCAGGCTCTATGCTTGACGCTTCCATGTAAATTAACTCATTGTGGGTCTATTTCCTCAGTCGTCCTCGTGCAGCATCCCAAAGCTCTGTACTCTCTGTCCTTCCACCTCAAATGATAGTAAAATCCCAACCACAGAGGCCTCAAACCCTCTGCAGAGTTCCACACTCGAATGCAGGTCTCTGAGCCCTGAAAGCGACACTCTCGCTCCTGAACAGATTGGTGCCATGAAACATTTGTGGCCACCAACTGGGTCTCCAGCTCTAGCCAAGATAGAGGTACTGTTACATAACTAGCTTGACCACACATTCTTAACAATGCCTATTTCAAAATTTCACTGTGGTGTACCAGGCATTGTTCTAACTGCTTTACCATTTGGTTCTCTTAAACTCTAGTGTAGGCTCCAAAGCAATATCCTCGTTTTACAGAAGAGATGTGTGAGGCACAGAGAGGTTGAGTGACTTTCTCAAGATCACACAGCTAGGATTCAGTGAAAGCAATCGAACCACGCAGTCTGACTCTAGAGCCTGCACCCTTTACCCTGGCTCTACACTGCCAGTGATTATTGCTTCTCGCCTTGAACCTTGATCTCTCCCTCTGTTCTAGATCTTTATCCTTAGCATGTAAAAACACTCAACCTTTTCAGTCTTCCAGAAACCATGTGCTGACTCCGTGTCCTCCCCGTCACTTGCGTTTCTTTCATCCCTTTCACGTCTTCGAGAGCAAACATCCTACACTCTGCACTCCCCCTCATGCTCACCTCCTCTTTGAGCCTCAGCCCGGAGTCTGCTTCCTTCCCTAAGGCCACTGAAACTCTGTTTTATCAGCTCTGCCTTTTACATGCCCCAAAGTCCAGAGGGTATGATCTGCTTCATTAAAACCTGCTTTGTTTGGAGAGGATTTGTTAACCAGGATATCGATGCTTAAATCTACTGGCTGAAGAATACGCAGAGTTCAAGCTTTTGTTCTCATTATTGTCTTTACTTCCAGATGTCACCTTCCAAATACAACCTGTGAC